GTTATCTCAGCATTCAGGAGGTAGAGGGTCTGAAGTTGAAGGTCACACTCTATCATCAGTGAGCTCAAGGTCAGCCTGTGACACATGAGACCCTGCAGTGAGAATTTTAGAATTTTGGTTTCTTTAAAAACACACACACAGAGAAATATTACAAGAGTATGTAATATTCCAGGTGTGGGAATATGAGACTGCCTCACAGCAGCTGACTATGATTTGTCTTGTGCTCTTGTGGAGTTGTGATTTAGCCAGCTGCAGACAGTTTCTGTGACCGTGTGACATTTGGGATTCTGGGGACTTCTGAGAAGGTGTATAAATGCTGAAGCCCCAACGTTAGGTTGCTGGTTGGTCACTGGGAGGCTGCTGGTTGCACGTTGTTATGAAGTCGTGCACAAAGAAGAAACAAGAAGAAGAAATCAGATATCCTGACAGCAAAGATCATAACTGCCCCCAAGAAGCTTGATGCCCCTGGTCAGCAATAAGTGATCTAATGACAAGGCTGCCCCCATTCTGACCCCTGACTTTATTCAGGGATCTCTTCCCTTTCCTTTTTATCCTATTTTCTCTCTTACCTTAGTATTAGGGGTTGAAAGGGTGGAAGGAAGAATCCACAAAGTAGCAAAACCCCAGTTACAAGACCCCATAAAACATAAACTGGTCTCCTTCTGATTAACTAATTAAAGAATTACTTGTTTTTCAGAAACTCGCCAATAATGCCTTCTGGTTTGGTCTGGTCAGGATCTCAATCCGCAACAGCCTCCTTCAAGTTTGAGAGGAGCAGGAGAGTTCTGCCGGTCCTCCTCAGCCCCAACTGTACATTTCCCCTCTGAGCCACACGTAGGGGCTACCCATTCCCCAATAATACCTGGTCTTTCCCCTTCACTCTTGGTTTCCCAGGAACCTACTGCCTCTTCCTCCACAGCCTCTCTGACTTAGCTCTCCTTTCTCCCACTTTCACCCACCTTCTTGCCTTCTCTCCCCTTCTCATTTCCTCCCTGGGGGAGAAGCATGGCCCGTGATGCCCTTGCAGGCAGGGCATTTCACACACACCCTGGCTCACCATCACCTATTTCCACCCAGCCTGAAATGTGTGTACCAAGTGGCTCTGGGTTGATGGTTCTGTTCAGGCAGGTTGCTTGGCCACCAGCTAGCCCATCCTGTAGCCAGTGGTAGAAATGGGCTGATGGTGAGGTCCAGACTGAACCACAGGACAGGTAAAGCTTCAGCATCAGTATTGGAAGACTCCTCCCGACTCCCAGAAGGGCCCCAGGGAGACAGGAGTAGCAGCCCTAGCAGCCAGCTGCTCGCTTAATTAAGGAATGCAAGGGAGTGGCCCCTTTGAACTCACCTGCTAATTTACTCTAGCACACTCCCCCCTGTGGCTGGGTAATTAATGTGGTGTGAACCAGTGATTAGCAGTTCTAGGGAGAACCTGTGTGCCTCACAACTTAACCCTTCCCTGTACCTCGGATGAAGATTCTCCTTCAGTCTGCCTTTCTCCTGCTGTCACATAGCTGGAGGAAAAAAAAAATTCCCCTGTGGGGAGGTAGGACATTTTCCAAGCCTTACCCAGTCTCCCCCCTTCTCCCTGTCAGCTTCACATGGAGAAAAGTGTTAGAGGACCACTAGAGCAACCAGCTGTCCCTGGCGGGCTTTGGGTCCGGCCCACTTTGCCCCACTTTTGCATCCCACAAGCCATGCTCATCTTGTGCCCTCCAGGATCATCCCAGGCAACCTGACAGACACTTCCAGGCCATCATCTCATGGAAGGCCTTCCTTTGGCAGCACACAAAAGGTAAAGGTGAAGGAGACCTGTTTTGTGCCATCATGAAGATTCCAGTCTCGAAGAGATTCAGAGCAGGGTTCTGCTCAGCGGCATACACGCCCCTACCCTTACCTTTGCAGCCTGCTCTTTCCTGTCTCTGACAGACATAGTTAAGCCTTACTGTGGACCAGATTCATGACACCTAGCTGGTGTCAGCACTAGGAGAGAGATCCTGTCATTGATCCCGCCCCACAGGTGAGCACACCATAGCCAGTAGTTACTTTTCTCATGGCTTCACATCCAAATTCGGATCCAAGTCTTACTCTAGAGATTGCACTCAGAACCCCCGTGAGTCTGTCAGATTCTGGAGGGCCCAAGATGAGCATCAGCGTGGGGAATGCAAGAGTGGGGCAAAGTGGGCCAGACCCTTAGTTCCTTTGGAGGACACAGTTGGTTGCCCCTAGGTCCTCTATCACTTCCCTCCCATTTGAAGCTGACAGGGTGAACCAGGAGACTTATAAGGCTTAGAAAATATCCAACCTCCCCACAGGGGAAGTAGGATAAACTGCAAAACCACTACCCCAACCTGTTTTATGCTCTAAGGCTCACTCAAACACCCATCCTTCAACTAAGGCCTCACAGCCTTCCCCCACCCAGGCTAGGACAGGTCTTTGCCCTCTGGCTCCCATAGCATCCTGCTCACGCTTCTGGCATTGTTCTTACTACATTGATTGTTTAATTATTGGGTTACACATCCCATCTCCTCCTCTAAACTTCAAACCCCTTAAGGGCAAGGGCTAAGCCTTTCATCTCTGTGTCCCCAGTGCCTGGCACCTAAATAGATGCTCAATAAATGCTTGATGACTAGATGACAGAATTGACAAGAGAGCCATAAATGAGTCTCCTCCCTTGGCTTCTCTATCCTACATCTAAAAGCTTCAAAGTTCTGCCAGGGACCTCGGCTCAGCAGACTCTGTTATTCTCCTCTGGACATTTCCCTCCTACTTCAGGCCCCTCCATTTCTGAGACCCCATTCCTATTCCTCTTCTTCTCCCAGGCTGCTCTGCACGAAACAGCCCCCTGCCTCTAGGCAGCACTTCTTTTTTTTTTTTTTTTTTTTTTTTTTTCTTTTTTCTTTTTAGTTACAATTTGTTAACTCTGTGTCCCAGCTGTATCCTGCTCCTTCATTCCCTCCCCCTCCCAACTCCCTCCCTGGTCTCCTCCCTGCCACTTCTTACAGCATTCCTTCAATCCATCGCCTGGAACAGTGCTCATTAGAACTGAGATTCTTGGCTCTGTCTCCACCCACTCAGCCAGCAGGCCTGGGAACTCAAGTATTTAACAAGGAGAGCCAGAATGGCTCTCCAGAATGGCTGAACCCAGTGTTCAACCTGCATCATCACACTCCAATCTCCCCTTCCACCTCCCCACTTTGGCTTCAAAAGATGGCTTGTGACTGTCCCTCATTGTTCCTGGAGGCTACTTAGAACTTTCCCACCGTAGACTCTTCACACACTCTACTCTCTCCTGTGTTCAAGGCCCATCAGAAACTTTGGCTCCCCTTTTCTCTTCCTGTCTATATCATTCTCAGTGTCTACCTGCTCAGGAAACAATTCCCACCCAGATGCAACAAACACCACACCTCCTGCAATGCTGACTGCTTGGTGCAATGCTGATTGCCCATGTGACTCCTTTATCCAGAGAAACTTATGTGTGCCAGCCTTCACTTTTCCTGGCATGTCTGCTTCTACAGGCAAAGACTCTCTCCCCAACTCCTCCTGCTCACCAGCATTCAAAGACTCTCTCCCCAACTCCTCCTGCTCACCAGCATTCATTCTGTAAGTCTAGTTCCTGATTCAGTGTTACCATGATACCCATTATTTTAAGATTTATTTATTTATTCAGCATTCTGCTGGCATGTATGCTTACACACCAGAAGAGAGCACCAGATCTCTTATAGATGTTTGTGAGCCACCATGTGGTTGTGGGGAATTGAACTCAGGACCTTTGGAAGAACAGACACTGTTCTTAACCTCTGAGCCATCCCTCCAGTCCCCATGATACCCATTTGACTGACAAGATAGAAACTGTACAGAACAATACACAGTGATCCACACTCAGGATGTTCAGGGATCTTCCCTCCTGGGAATAGGGATACTCAGTTGTAGAACACTCCAGAGGCCTTCCATTCTATCCCTAGTACTGAGGGAAGAGGGAAAACAAAAGAAGAAGCTAACAAATAAAAGCAGAGAATAAGAGTGAGGAGGGGATGGCTATGACAGAACATGCTTTGCCTCCTGTGACCCCAACAAGCTACCAAACATCACCTTGTCTTTTAATCCCTCCACCACTAATACTTGCAACAGGGCTATAAGGAGGTCAGCTCTGGGAATGGTCCTCAGCCTTGCAAAAAAGAAAAAGGGGGAACCATATCTAGCAGTCCTTCACTCGCTTAACATTTATTTATCAAACAGTAAGGGTGTCCAGCACAGAAACAAACACAAATGCTGCTGTGAAGCAGCCTACAGAAACTATGAAGCTACAACCAGCAACATGCCGAGAGCACAAGGGAAGAGTAAGTGCACTTGGGTACCCAAGGCTCCTTACTCTGCTTGTACTCAGGAAGCCTTGAAGGACAGCCTGGCTGGGTGCAGAGCTAGACTGTGTGTTCGAAGATAGCTAGAAGTACATGCCTTCTAGGGAAGCCCATACAATGTATGCAGCTGTCAAATGCATGGTTCTAAAAAGAGGTAGTCTGTCCAGGATGGCCAGAGAGGAGAGGGGATGTGGGCAGCCAGTCTGGAGAAGCTGCAGAGCCACACATGCTAAGCTTGGTGTTTAGTCTTTAGATCCAGGGGGCAGCGGAAAGCTTTCAAAGAATTTTAAGCAGAAGTGACTGGATCAGTATTGCAGCTCAGAGGGATCTGTGTGGCAATGATGGTGAATAGACGCAGCCATGGGCAGGGTTGGATGCAGAGAGGCCTGGTGACAGTCTGCAAGGAGCACATGGCTGTGTGGGCGTGCTTGTCACCATGATTTAGCCAGCCACGTGCACAGAAAGAAGGCTGACTTACAAGAATCGGCTCCTGAAAGCCCAGCTAGCTCCCGCTGGGCCCACAGCCAACTTCCACTTTACATGGATGCTTTCAATTTCGAGACATCTCATTTTGAGTCAAAATTCCTCCTTCTGACCATGGGACTTTCCAGCAGGACCACATCTCCTTCCGTGCACTCATTTGGCCTAGGATAGATATCCTGGCTTGTTGAGGGAATCTTCAGAAGGAGGACATCGGCCATGTGGTCCCTCTGGAGTCTTCTTCTCTGTGAAGGTAAGTGGAGCAGATGGACAGCCTGTCCTCGGGGAGCTGAAAGCCCTTCTCCAGCTGTCCTCATCAGACCTCTAGGCAGCTTGCCTTTCAAAACCAAGTGAGAAAGAACCAAGGAGCTAAGGAGAAGTGAAGAGTAAAGCAAGCTCTGGGGCAGCCTAAGAGGGGTCTTGGATGAAACAGGAGTGGCAGCACTAGTGGCCTCTGCATCCAGGAGACCCCAAGTGTTCTGGGACCCCGAGCAGCTTGAAATGAAGGAAGTTTTGAAAGTTGGGTTCAGGGTTGAGGAGGATCTGGCGGTGCTGATACATGAGGATTCTACAATCCAGAGAAAAGAGAGGAAGATAAGGCAGAGCAGGGTACCTTGAGGTCTGAAGAGTGTTTCAGCAGCTTGTACTAATGCTAAGGTCTCTCTCTCTGTATCCTGTACAAGGGGAGATGGACATTGGGTAGAGAAGTGATGTGACAGCAGGTTAAGTAGGGTCCTTGTGGGCTTGAGAATAGATGATAGCAAGCTGATGCTGGAGTCTCCAAACACTAGGTGACCCTCTCCATCATTCTGATGGCTGAGTTCCACTCTTTGATCAACAAGTAGCCAACATGGCAAGATCATCCCCTGCAGGGCCACGAATAGAGTTCATAGACCCCAAGACACTTCTGTATACTTCTGAGACCCATAAGAACTCACTACACTGTCAGACCTTAACTCATTTTTAAAGGGGTTCTTACTGGCAAATGAGAATGATACAATAACACTAATACAGCCTCCTTTGTCTTGCTTAGAGGAGGAAGATGAGATGCTGAAGGTCACACAGCTTATTTGTGGCAGAGCCAGGACATGACAGGACTTCAGTCTCAAGGGACATCCAGTGTTAACACTGAACCTGTGTCCTTCAGGATGGAGATGGCTGGACTCAGACAGGTCAAGGATGTAGATGAGGACTAGAGTTGAGGCCAGCATAGTGGCCATCCAGAATAAGCCTCCTTGTCCCAACTTCCAACACTAGGATACATCACGTATCAGCCCTTACTCTGGCCTGCATCCGGAAGCCTCTTACTTTGCCAGGCTCAGGGTCAGTCCTCTGAAAACCCTAAAATTTACTGAGCTCCTACTGTCTGGTATTAAACTGGGGGATAGAGGAACACTGAAAGTACAAGGATGAAGACGTTGCCTCTTGACCTGATAGAGTTCATGGCCTGTGGGGGATGCTGATTCAGAAACAGACACTAATAGGATAGGGGTGTTGATCCCCGATCATCGTGGGAAAACAGAAAGAATGTATCCTTGCAGGGAGAGATGGGAGAGGTTAGAGGTGATACTGGTGCTTCCAGAATAAGCATGAACAAGGCAGAAAGGGAGTCAAGAGGGCAGTTCAAACTGGATTGTCTTCCTCATACTTCAGACTCAAACCGATCCTCAAAAAAATTCAGCGCCTTGCTGTCTCACCTCCCTGTCCGTCTCCTTCCCTGTTTCAAATCACAAATAATGATGTCCAGTGGATCCCAAAGACCTGGGAGCACTCTCTGAGAACTCTCCAGACCTAATCTAATACCAGAGTTTGCTAATTAAACACCGTTAATCTCTCCATCTCAACTCTCCCCATCCCCGTGGTTCCCTTTCTTTGTTCAAGTTTCCATCACCTTTATCTTGTGCTAATAAATAAAAGTAATAAACAAATAGGGGAGGCAGCCTCCCCCTACCTCCGTCCCCACTCCCCATGCCTCCTGCCATGGCCATTTTAGGCATTTTAGGCATTTTAGGCATTTTACCATGTCACTTTATTACTTAAAACATAAGTGCAGCACCATACATCAGTGAGCAGGCGAGTGCACACACACACACACATACACACCATTGTTCTAAGGACAAAAAGCCTAGAATCCAATGCTGGCTAATGGTTAATGATCCCACCAACTCTTGGTGTCATTTCCTACTCACTTCCTCTTCACAGAGCCACTTTCACTTCCCTTGCTCTCTCCCTGAAACCCCCTGGTGCTGTTCCCTCAGCTTGTAGCACTTCTCCAACCCTGTCCCAGTGGCCACCACTTGGTCTGGCTGGTTCCCATTCCTTCTTCAGGCTGCTCCTTCTCTGAGGGCACTCCAGGCTGGGTGAGGACCCCTATTAACCTGCGTGTGTTCAGCCACTTTGTCTCATCACGATACTTAATTGATTTTAGTGGCTGGCTTGAGGACTGGTTCCTCCGTGAACAGAGACCGGATTCTCGTCCTGTTTTCTCTCCCCATCCTTGGCGCATTCTACTACACCCTCAGCTCAGCGCAGCCTCTGGGAGGTGGAAGGATCAATTCTGAGCCATTCAGCTGTTTACCAGGAGCAGGACAAGGCGCCACACAGGCAGATTCACCAGGGTTTCTGTTCTTACAGCGTTCCTCCCCACTGTGGTTATCAGTGTCCAGGTGCTAAGCAAGGTGAGGGACTCCGTGCTGCTGGCCGCAGAGTGTCCTTCAGGCTTCCAGGTTCGGGAGGCCATCTGGCGATCCCTCTGGCCATCGGAGGAGCTCCTGGCCACGTGTTTCCGGGGCTCCTTGGAGACTCTGTATCACTCCCGTTTTCTGGGCCGAGTTCAGCTACATGACAACCTCAGCCTGGAGCTTGGGCCCCTGGAAACTGGAGACAGCGGCAACTTCTCTGTGCTGATGGTGGATACAGGGGGTCAAACCTGGACCCAGACCCTGCACCTCAAGGTCTATGGTAAGTGTGCCCAACACTGGATCCCTGACTCTCTCCTCCTGCAAACTACCAGGCAAGCATCTGGAGCCATGGGAGCCAGGGAAGGCAAGGTTCCAGAAAGACCTGGCCTCTCACCATGTTGCTAAGTCAGGGAACAGCTGCTCCCCAGAAGTCACATCTAAAAAAGTTACCCCTCACGATTCCCAGACTAGCACCCGCCAAAGCAGCCAGCTTCACCAGCTCACCAACCTTATCTGTATTCACTGTTTCCTTGGCTCAGCAGGCTGGGGGGGGGGGGAATGCTTTGCCTCTGACCTTCCCCTCCCCCCCCCACCAGTGTACGGTGAGCCTTATAATAAGTGCCAAGTACAGTACCCATAAAAAATGAAGCACTGTGAAACAGGACAGAGGGTGGCCTGTCTATCCAGCCTAAGGTATTGCCATAGATTACAAGTGATACTACTTTTTATTCACCCCTAAAAAGTAAAAGAAAATAGAATATGGCATATGACATAATTAGTTTTTATTTGCAAGTTAAATTCAACTTAAACTATAATTAATTATAGAAAAAAAATTTTTTTTGTCCTATACTTCTGTTTTGTTTAGCTTTCTGTTGGTCTAAAGACAGTACTAAAGACTTAAGCCAGAGCCTTATACATGCTAAGAACAATTCAACACACACAATCTAGAACACACACACATACACACGGCCTTATTTTTCTTGAAAGATTATTTAGTTGGGTGTGGTGACACATGCCTGCAATCCTGGCACTTGGGAATCTGAGGCAGGAGGATGGCTGAGAGTTCAAGGCCAACCTGATCAACATTACTTAAGAGCTAAAAACAGTCACTAGCTTTTATTTCTTAGGGTCTGTGTGGTAGGTTATAGTACCATCACTTGTGCAGCTGCATCTATCTCTGCACCTGCAGTGGTTGAATTGGCTAAGGGCGTAATGAGCTCTCTAACTCTCTCCATCCTTCCCTTCCTCCTTCCTACCCTATCCTCCCCTCTCCTCTACTTCTGCTTCTCCAAGCCTGCTAACACTCATTCATCCCATCCACCTAATGGCTTGAGACACAAATGTGAGTGGCCCCACACCAGCCTTTTAGTAAAAACTGAAAAATGTGGAAGGCTGCAGAGCATCCCAATTTAAGAATGAAAAGTGAGAATAGTGGCTAGAAAGAAGAAGCAGGAGCGTGTGTGTGTGTGTGTGTGTGTGTGTGTGTGTGTGTGTGTGTGTGCAAACTGGGGAGGATGCTCAAAGCCCCAGACACAGCTATTGTACCTGCTCTTGGGGTGAGCCGTTCCGGATGCTGACGTGCTGACGTTCAGTTAGAGGGTGAGCTTCCGGAAGGCCTGGAACAAGGTGTAAATCTTAGCAGTCAGAACGCTGGCTGTGTTTCAGCAGTATTTAGCCCCCTATCCCGGTGTCCTTGCGCAGGGAATAACCTCCACAGCCAGCAGGCCCTGGAGCCTCTCCCCTACTCCCGGTCTCAGCTGCCGCGCATGTGAAGCGAGGACATGGAGTGTGGTAATTCATGCAGCACCCACACCGCCAAACCCTAAAATGCCTTGTTCTCAGTATCCGAATTACAGATTTTAAGGAAATTGCTGTTTTATTGCTTCCAAATACATAGCGTGATTAGAACTAATTGCAGGAAGCTGCCAAGCAGCCGTCCTCAGGAGCTCGGCTTTGACAATAGATAAGAATGATTTGAATTAGCGGGATCGGTTACCAGAAATGTCGATGGGTGTTTCCACTGCGCCTGATCGTGTTTGGAGGCAGCTTGTCCTCTTAAGTGGTGTAAATATCCTCCCCCCCCTCCCCACTGTAATCTCTGTTTATACTATTAGTATGCCCAGCAAATCATTTCGTTTTTCATATCACAAATCCCAGCAGATTGAGCTGGCATTAATGAGGTTTTACTCTGCTTGACTTTGGAATGCTGTCAGAGACTCGGCCCTCCTGTTGTCACTATAATGCTCTCCCACTGGCCCCATTGCTAGAGACTCGGGGATTTACCCATCAATCTATATGGGGATGAAGAGCCACTGCTTAGGATGCCAGGACACTAATTTGTTCAGCAGCCCAGGTATCAAGCACCAATTTGCCAGCTCTAGAGAGCTAAGGTTATGGCGATAACAAGACAGAGCCCCTCCCTCCAGGCTCCTCATTCACAGCATTTTACGCGCTTACAATTATTTTCTTGTTCATCATCACATGTCAGTGTCTGTCTCCTTCACCAAACTGTAAGCTCCTAAAGTGCGGGAATGTGCGTTCCTACCTGAACTAATAAATACTTGTCATTCCCTTGTAGAGTTGACTGGCACACTGTGAAAGGAGTGCTACGAAAAGACAAGAGCAGAGTGCCTGGAGAGTTCTGAGTCATGCCTGAGCTCTCAGGGAAGGTGTCATAGTCAAGGCATAGAGTGGTGTGTCCAGGAGGGGGTTGGAGGTCTTAAAATAGGCAGAGGAGGTATCTAGGTGGGCAGGAAGGGAAAGAACAGAGCCAGGTTTGGTGGCACAGCCCCTGAAATCACAGCATTCTGAGAGTTGGAAGCAGGAGGGTTCTGAGTATGAGGACCACCCAGAGCACAGACTGAGACCTTTTCTACAGAAGAGGAGGCAGAGAGCACTCATGTGCCCAGATGAGCCACACAGGAGTCTAAAATGTACAAAACAGTGCTTCATATTTGGGAGAACCGCAAACCAAGGGCACTAGGCGAGGAAGACCAGCAGAGAGCATAGCGGAATAGGTTGATACAAATCATTTCATAAAAGGCTTTGGATGGCGAGCTGAAAAATCAGCAGTGGGGAGGTAAATGAGACTGAAGAACAAGAGAGGCATTTTACCATGCACAGAGCACAGACAGGGCTGTGGACACTCCCCAGCAGCCCTGTAACCCCCTCTACTGTGCTATTCTCACACAGACACAGTGCCCAAGCCCGAGGTTCAAGTGTTCACCGCCGCAACAGGGGAAGCTCAACCCCTCAATACCTGCCAGGTCTTCTTGTCCTGCTGGACCCCCAACACCAGTGACATAACCTACAGCTGGCGGCGGGAGGGCCCGATGGACTTTGACCGTGAACCGCACAGCCTTTTCTCAAGTGGACAGGTGTTAAGTGTCTCCCTGGGACTGGGAGACAAGGATGTGGCCTATACCTGCATTGCCTCCAACCCTGTCAGCTGGGATATGGTCACAGTCACTCCCTGGGAGAGCTGCCATCATGAGGCAGGTATGCCAAGGATCAGTAGGCAATAGCTGAGGGATTGTGGTGCATCAGCCCAGTCTCTGACTCTGCCCTCCATGCTACAGCCTCCGGGAAAACCTCCTACAAGGATGTGTTACTGGTTGTAGTGCCGATCTCACTGTTCCTGATTCTGGCTGGTCTCCTTGGCGCGTGGCACCGTGGCCCCTGCTCAGGTAGGAGTCTTATGTGTGGGGAAGGGAGAGGGTAAGAATGCTGGAGAGGAGCAAGGGCTGGCTCTCCTCCCACTTAGATTCACAGGCCTGCCCCTTTGCACTCCTGCCTCCTGCCTTGGCCCTCTCCTCACACTTCGGTCTCCAATAAGACTGAACAACTTGAATTTTCTTCTACAGTTCCTCAAGTGAGCTGCCCCCCCCCCCATATACATTCCCTCAAAGCCTGTGTACATTATATCCTCTCTGCCTGGAACACACTTTCTGGCATTTTCCCTCTCCCTTCGGCCCTCTCTTATGGAGTCTTCAAGGTGAGTGTGTTCCAGGAAGTCTTCCCTAACTCCTCTCTACATTCCTACCTTCAGTCAGATTAATATCCTTCTTTTAATCACCTTTGATTACTCCATCCCAAAGACTAATTACCTGTTTGCTCCTGCTGACTTCTGGGCCTTTCAAAAAGCAAAGGCTGGGACACACCCAACAGGTCTTGAGCATCATGGCTCCTGGAACAGAAAAGGCCTTGGTGAACAGTTATTGAGGAAAGGTATAAATGAATCCTACTCAATTCTTGCCAATCACTCTTGAGAAAGAAACTCCAGAGAGAAGCCCCACCACAACACCAACTTCCAGCAAAGAGTGGTGGGGAAAATCTGGTTAGCCTGGGTTCTAGGCTTTACACACAGATCTGCCCAGATGCCCCATACCTTGTCCCTGAAGGAGCATCTCAGATGACATAGGCTTCATGGCTGTTTTCATGCTGAGCTTGCTGGTTTCACTATGTTACTTGTGTCCTGAAAGACCAGGTCTTGTTCTGTGATTAGGCATTGGGTCCAGGAGTGACAGGTACCTGTGTATTCTTGTCAAGGGACAGGAAAGTTGAGGTGAGGGTGGACAGCTGAGAGTCCGCTCCACTTAGGGATCCTGTCTGCTAGGCAAAATTTGTGGTAAGAAGGTAGAAGCCAAGAAAAGAGCAGCTTTTAAAAACCATTTTATTGAGATAGAAATTGTATGTTGTACATAGTTAAAGTGTGTAATTTAATGGCTTTAACTTAATCCAGAGCTTAACCTCCAACCCGCAACCAATTTTAAACCATTTTTATCACTTTCCCCACCGGAAGAACACTATAGCCACTTAGTCAACACTCCTCCACTCCCCTGTGCTCCCCCAAGCCTCCAGGCAACCACATATCTACCTTCTTTGTCTATTCTGGACACTTCACCTGAATGGAATCCTGCTGTGTAGTTCCTTATCATGGGCTACATTCACTTAACCTAGCATTTTAAAGGCTCACATAAGAACAGCTGTGGGCCGGGCAGTGGTGGCGCATGTCGTTAATTCCAGCACTCCTGAAGCGGAGGTAGATGGAGCTCTGTGAGTTCAAGGCCAGCTGGTCTACAGAGCTAAGCTCTGGGACTGTTAAACAGGGAAACCCTGTCCCAAAAAAACAAGAGAGGGTGGGAAGGGGGAAGGAGAGAGAAAGAGAGAGAGAGAGAGAACAGCTGTAGCCACCTGGAATGGAAAAGCATTACATCCCCTTTTTCAGGGTTTGAAGAAATAAGATGGGGTCATTGGGCTCAGGACATTTAATGTTCAGAGACCTGAAGCCAGGCCAAGTCTGTCAGGACTCCAAACACTGAAGGGTAGCTCTCTGATCTCATCCACAGGGAAGAAGAAGGATGCTTGCACTGACAGAGTGGTTCCAGAGACAGAAAATCCCCCTGTATAGGGTATCATGAGGGACAGCATAAACTGGTACTTGTGTCATGATGAGACACCCTGCCCAGCCACATGATGCTCCACACTGGGAAACTTCCAGGGTCTTCATAACTTCCTCAAGTCTCCAGTCTGCCTCTACTGAACGAACAGCCAAGGAACATCCTGGAACACCATCATGCAGGCCTGAACTTCCTCCTTCCCCTTGGCACATGTTCCATGTCCGGGCAAGGTGGACTAATAGCATGCTTCCTTAAGAACACTGGACATTCTCTAGGATCCACAGGGACATTGCTTACCCAAAGCATTTGTTCTTCTGCCATTGTACATAAGGTACTATCCAACTACCAAGGGACTGTCTTCAGGCCAAGTCCTGGGCCCTAAGAGCTATCAGATGTTTGAACTAACAGGGAAATTAAGCTAACCACTGCCAACTCCAACCCCAACCCCTGGAGTCTGAGGTCCATGAGTTCAAGATGGTATCATAAGAAAAGTCATAGAACAGGGAAAGGTGAGAGATGGGCCTTTCTCTTTCTAGCCTAAAGGACTTTCAGATCATCTGAGTTCAAGGGCCCTCAAAGGTAAATTAAGGTTATAGGTGACAAAGCATAGTTAATATGCCATGTTAATAGGGAGGCCATTTTTCTGGTGGCACCCTAAACAGCCATCTTCATTGCCATTAATTCTCATGTCTCCTGCATGATCTGGGGTGATGTTTGAGGCTTTCTCTATATATTCTACACAGTTGCTAGAAAAAAAGAAAAAGAAAAAAAGCAGAGTTTAACCCAGCCAACAGGAAATTCTTCCACAACTTCAAGAGAAGCAACTAAGTCCAGGATAAGTCTCTCTTCCTGAAACTGGAAGAATGGCGAGCCATGAAGAGCTACACAGGAGAAAAATTGTGGAGGGGAAGGGTACCGCGACATTTTAGAATCTGTCATATTCATGTTAAGATAAGGGGAGAGACAAAGTACCTACCACTTAATGGCAGGATCACCAAGGTCGTTTTGACATATGCCACAGAGGATATAGTTATGGCCGTCTTTGGAAAATGTCTCCTGCCACTGAACGATTCTGTCCTGAAGGAGTCTGGGCTGTTTGTTACTACTTGGAAAAACAATACTCTTAATGAGTTAAATTTATCCTCATGGAGTAGTTGCTACAAGGTCCGTGCTTATTCCCATCCCAATGTAATGGGTTTTATCCTGTGGCCCCACCCAGACCCTTATAAAGAAAGAAAGGAGGCATTGAAGAAGCAAGGTAGTTTTGGATATGTTTCCTAGGTGGCACAATCTCTCCGCCCAGGAAGTCAAGCCTGCCCTGGCACCTTTCCTCTTCTATTCAATGCCAAGACAGGCAGCCACTTCACCTGGGGCAAATGATGATGGCACAATCCACTGGCTTGTGTGTTCACATTACGCACTGCCTCTCCACCTTACCTCGGATTTCCTCTTGCTGGCTTTCCCCCAAAGGTCCCTGGCTTTGCATAATTATTCCTCTCTCCTGCACTCACTCCTATCCTCTTTCCTCCAACATCCTCCTGCAGAGCTCACATGCCCACTCAACCTGGCCACTGTGCTGCCCTCCCCTGCCACCTGTAGGCATTTTCTTGCCAAATCAGGCACAGCCTGCCTGTCCCTAAGAACAATGTGAAAAGGATCTAGTAGTGATGAGACGTTGTGGTTCTGGGTTGATAAAAACACATGCTGCCCCCCGCTTTTCCTCCCTTTATCCCCACAGCCTCAACTCAGACCAGAGCACAGGTCAGTTCTCCTTGTTATGAGGTGACTCTCGTCGACCTTGTGTAGATAGTGTAGATCTTGTGTAGAACTTGTGTCGACAGTGGCTTTGCAGTGAGTTGTACCAAGGCATCTTGGAACAGGCCTTGCTCAAACAAACATCCCCAGTGACTCACTTGTCAAAGTAGTAGACTTATTATCCCTCCTCTGGAGAACACAAAGTACATCTGGGAGACCAATCTTACTCTAAGAGGCATTGGGAAAGGGGCTCTAAAAGTTACACCATCCCAAGTATGAACTAAGGGCTCAGCACAGGCTGGGAGCTCTTTGAGGCATTGAGGGATCAGTTTTGAAGGAAGCAAAGCCTTTGCTTTCTTGGAGTCCATGTTTGATGGCATATAAATAAATGGATAAGTATATGCTAGATGCTAGCAGGTTTTGTTTAAAAGATAAGGCAGTCTGGCTTTGTGATACAAGCTTAGAAACCCAGCTACTCATGGAGGCTGAGGTGGGAGGATGGTAATTCAAGGCCTGTGTGAACTACAGAAGTCCAAGGCTAGCCTGGCTGGCTTAGTCAAAACCTTGTTTCAGAACAAAACAGAGAAAAGATGCACTGGGGAATATAGCTCAGTGGTAGAGTGCTTCCTGGCTTGCAGGAGGCTCTGGGTTCAGTCCCTAGAAAACACAGGAAGGGAGGGAGGGAGGCGGGGGAGGGAGGGATGAGGAAAGGAAGGAAGGGAGGGACAGAGAGAGAAGGAGGAAAGGAAGGAAGGGAGGGACAAAGGGAGAAGGAGGAAAGGAAGGAAGGGAGGGACAAAGGGAGAAGGAGGAAAGGGTGGGTAAAGGTTAGGGACTGACGTGTTGGCAGGACTCATCATGCAGTGAGTGCCATGTCAGCACACAGCAGAACTTTCAGAGCCCTTAAGTGGGAGCACAGTTCACAGCCAATAGAGACCAGGTGGCTGGATCCAAACAAGGGAGAAATAAGGGAAAAGAAAAGGTCTAGAGATGTGGCCTGGGCCCACTTCATGTCAGCCCTCATAGTCTACAGAGTAAAGAGCCTCCTCTCCTCAGTGTGTGGGTAGCAGAGGAGTCACAGTGAGTCAAAATGTCAGTCTTTTGGGGGGACATTCCTTATACACGATTGGACCAGAACCTCCTCCATACTGCTCCTTCTCTTCCTTGTTCTCCTCTTCTTTATCTTTAGTGATAGCAACTTTCTTTTCTATAAAGGATAAACACAAGCTCTGCTAGGACGAAGAAGTCAAGTGACAGAATGTTAGACTATAGCTGAGTGTAATAGGTAACACCTGTACTCCTAGCGCTCAGCACAGAGGCTAAAGCAAATGAATTACTGTGACATTAAGGCCAGTCTAGGCTACCTAGTGAGTACCTAGTGGGCTACAGAGTGAGACCCTGTATCCCAAAACTAATATGAGAGAATGGGGGAGAGCATAGCACAGGAATCAGTTTGGAGAGAGCTTCATTTCCTTTATGGATATAAATACTCAGGGCTTTAAAGGCAGGGGAGAGGGAAGCCGGTGCCATTATCAATGACATCTCCAGCAAGCCTCTCTTCCACGTTTATGATATAGTGCCTACTCTTAGCTCTTGGTTACTTACTGATCTCTCAGGGAAACAGCTGTCCCTTTGCAGACTTAACCCTCTGACTCCTTCTATCCATTTCAATGCAGCCTGAAAGGAGAGTCTGTAAAATTCCAGACTACAACTTCCCCAGGTCTGTGAAGGTTTCAGTGGCTGTCTCTCCTCTGGACTATGCGTTGGTGACAGTCAATTGCCAGGAGTGGCAGGCTGAGCATATGAGTGGGGGTAGTGGGGATTATCTATTGCACAGCTAGACTGGTTCCCATGAGAGTGACATCATAAGGACCCAGAAAAGAATGGCCAAAATGAGGAAAGTCTGAAAGCCCTTATGCTATGAGAAATGACTGAAAATACTGGTGGTGTTTAGTTTGAAACAAAACAAACAAACAAAAACTCAGATGGGCACAGTTATACAAATATTTGAAGGGCTTTAACCTAAGCCCCAGACTATGTAACTGGAGGCCAATGGAGCATGTTACAAAGATGCAGATATTGACTCTGTGAATAAAAGTCTATCACAGCTGAGAAGCAGCTTTGTGGTTACTCAGTCCAACTTCCTAGGTAAAAACCTGAAGCCAAAAAGACATAATTACTCAATGCAAAGTCAAAATAGTTCTAGATTTCCTAAATCAGTTCAGCCCCTCACACTACATTATATCACCAGGAAAGAACTTTCTAGCTGGTGATGAAATACAGTCATGAAAAGAGCTGTTTCAACAAATGTGAGTAAGCAGAAACTGTCTCAGAGCAAGATCATGCACTAAAGATTGTTCATATTAGGAAGTTGCAAAGAAGTGACAAATGCATTAGATAGATAGATAGATAGATAGATAGATAGATAGATAGATAGATAG